AAAGCGATAGCCAACACAATAAGATTGAATGGTTCACAGTATCAAGAGTGCCCCCAAACCTTCCTGTTGGGTGGCATGGTTCAACCAATCAACTCTCCAGTCAACAAAAGAGGGTCGGAGAATAAGTACCACAAAAACAAGCAAAAAAATGCCCCAAGACGCAGGTGTGGGAGGCTGGGATGCAACAGGTCAATGTTCCTTTGCAAAACAAGATGTGCCTGTATTATTAAACGCCAGTGAAGTTTTCATCGCAGTGCCAAGGGTCTAATACTGTTGGTGTTGGTTGTGAGGATGGGGAGGCAGCATCCTTGTTATTATCAAGTGACAGGAGAATCCTGGCCTGTTTTTGTTTGTGTGAAAATCGAAATACACTATATGGACAAAAGTACGGGGCCACGTAAATATTACACCCCCAGGAGCTGTTTGGCCATGGAAACTGATGCCATGACGCTCCCAGCACACAGTTTGGTGTTGATGTTAATGATTGAGGAGGTCTGGAACTCCTCAATCATGGAAGGTCTGCAGTAATGGCACTGAAAGCACCTACACTGAAAGATTAAGAAGTGTGACCAAATACTTTAGTCCATACAATGTAGCTTTGATAGTTGCATATGATTTAAAGAAAATATTAGATGTTTTTCCAAAAGGATTTGGGATATAGTGTGCAATATAAAGATGCTTAGTCATAGTGCAGCTGTGTAGACAAAAGATAAAGTCTGACAAATTCCATAATTATGGTTTTCACATCAAAGTAAATTACAGGTTTGACACAGTTAATTTGGTGGATAAACCGATGATTGTTTGTCTCTTTTGTTTTCCATTAGCTGTGACCAGATGGAGAAGACAAATCCAGCAGCGAGTGTTTAATGCAGTGGGCAGGCAGACTCCAAAGTGGGTTAATCCTTCACTGCTGAGGCAACAAACTCCGAGGGTGAGCATGGCAGAGATGTAGCGTGCAATAAATGTCTGCTTAGAGTGAAATGATTATAGAGTTGAACAATGTTAGAATTATACGGAGAGATAAATAATCAGGTTATGTTAAATTATATCATATCATCATTAAGTCATTAAAATGCATTTGCTTTGAGACTATTGTGGTAGAAAACATGAAACATGAATGATTTTTGTGATGAATATACTGAAATACAAGCAGGATTCAGCAATATGAACAAAGCAAAGACATCTGGTTGGTTGTCATAATTCAAGTGCTGAGGCAGACTATGTAGAGAGAATACAGTGCACATCTGCAGTGCAGGAAACCTTCTGTCACTGTTCATGTAGATATACTTCAACACACTGTCAGAAACCCAGACTTGGAGAACATTTTTGTCCTCATATTTAACCATAACAGAACTGTGTAAAAAAGGAATATACTTATTTTAAACTACAAAGTCCAGGCAGTGTCAGAAAAAAGGGCTCCAATGTACCTGGATAAGAGGCACAGAAACATTGAAGACTGCAGAACTGCTTTCATTGGGTAAAATAGAAAACCACAGAAATTCTTGGCAGCAAGGATGAAAAATAACATGGTTTCCAAACACCAATCAAGTGTTTGGAAAAACTGCCCGTGAGTCTTTCACATCATTGTGGAAGAATTCTGGCCCACTGTCATTTGCAGAATTATAATTCAGCCAAATTGAAGGCTTTTTGAGCACGAACAGCATGCCAAACCATACCAACAGCTGTTAACTTGTTAGAGTTAAGTGATTAGGCCACTCCAAAAATCTTAATTATGTTCTTTTTGAGCCGTTCAGAGGTGGACTTCCTGGTGTGTTTCAGAAAATTGTCCTGCTGCATAACTCAAAACTGAATTCACAGTTCCATCTATTACAGCAAGTCGTCCAGGTCCTGAAACACCAAAGCACTCTACCTCCACCATTTTTGACTGTTGGTATGATAGTCTTTTTAAAAAATGCTGTTATAGTTTTACACCAGATGTAACAAGACGCAAACCTTCAAAAAGTTCAACTTCTCTGTTGTCAGTCCGCAGACTATTTTTCCAAACATTTATGGCAAATGTGAGACAAGCCTTTGTGTTTCTTTTTTGTCAGTAGTGTCTCGGTCGTTGTGTCCTTGGGCAAGACACTTCACCTACCGCCTACAGGTGTTGGCCAGAGGGGCCGATGGCGCGATATGGCAGCCTCGCTTCTGTCAGTCCACCCCAGGGCTGCTGTGGCTACAACCGTAGCTGCCTCCACCAGTGTATGAATGTGAGAGTGAATGAATAGTGGAATTGCAAAGCGCTTTGAGGGCCCTGAAAAACGCTATATAAATGCAATCCATTATTATTATTATAGTGGTTTTCTCCTTGGAACATCCCATGGGTTCACTTTTGTCCAGTCTCTGTCTTATTGTTGAAGTCTGACCTTAGCTGAGGCAATTGAAACCTTCAGGTTTTTAGATGTTGCTCTGGGTTCTTTTGTGGCCTTCTGGATGAGTTGCCGATGTACTCTTGGAGTAATTGTGGTAGGCTGTCCACTCCTGGGATTATTCGCTACTGTTGTAAAGTTTTTTTCTCTATGTGAATAATGGCTCTCGCTGTGGTTCACTGGAGCCTTAAAAATTTATTTTCAACCCTTTTTAGACTGACAGACGGAAATTACTTTAGATTGTGGCATGATGTGTTGGTTTTTGACATCTTTTCACCTACTTCACTTTGTTCTCCCCGTGTTTCGTGGGTTCTCACCGGGTACTGCGGCTTCCTCCCACAATCCAGAGACATCCAGTTAGTGCGGTTAGGTTAATTGGTCATTCTAACCCTGAGCCCACCCACCCCTGAGCAACCCTGACAAGGAAAAGTGGAAGAGATAGAATGGATGGGAGTGGCAGTTACCTTTTCCACCAACAGTGAAATGGTAAATGGCCTGTATTTGTAAAGCGCTTAGGGACTAGGAAAGCGCTATACCACTCCCTCCCGTCCAGTCATCCACCCATATTGACACACTGGTGATGGAAAGCTACGTTGTAGCCGCAGCTGCCCTGGGGCACACTGACAGAGGCGAGACTGCTGGACACTGGCACCACCGGGCCCTCTGACCATCACCAGTAGGCGTAGGGTGAAGTGTCTTGCCCAAGGACACAACGACTGAGACTGTCCAAGCCGGGGCTCAAACCGGCAACCTTACAATTGCAAGGCGATCGCCATAACAAGTGAATTGGAAAAGCACTTAAGAAAATGCATGGATGGTTATTTTCAAGTGGAATCATATCACCCACATTGCAAATTGCTGTCAGCTGTCATTCAGTGTATGATTTGCTGTGCTGCTGCAGAGATCCAGGCCAGACCAGGCAGAAGCTGTTTCATCAGATGAAAAGAGGCTGGTAACATTTTTGTAAAATCAAATGAGCATTACAACCTGGATTTAAGATAAAATGTTAAATATTTACACACAAGGAGTTGTTGAATACCAGAGTGCATCAATTAAATGGAAGGAAAATCCTCGATGGGTTCTGTTTTCAAATGGTTAAAGGAATTGTTTGAAATTTGATTTTCAGTCATTCTCTCTTCATAGGACATGCGAGTGGGATTCACACATGCCTCCTGTTGCACCCACTTCTTATTTTGCATAATCTGAAGTTAATTTGACACCGCTTCCTGACGGGTTGGTTAACCAGCGATTTATCAAGCATACATTACTCTGCAGTGTTCTCTCATTAAACATATACGGCTTTGCAGCAGTGTGGTATCATAATTACTCTCTCAGCACTCACCCAGCAAAGCATTCTGTAAATTGCACAGTAAGTAATGCTTCTGACAATATATGTCTCCAATAGTAGCAAGCTGGAACAGAGCTGTAAGGGACAACATTCTCCGTCTTCTTGTATGTTAGGTAAATGTAATCTGAGACACTAACTCACTGGATATTTGCAAAAATTAAAAGGACATGAAGACGCATGGAGGTTCTCCACCACCTTTCTACAATGCTATTTGAAAACGTGGACATCCCATCATAGCATGACACATACACACAGAAACACACTTTGTGTCTGTGTCTATATGAGGGGGTAGAGTGTCAGCCCCCCAGGCAGCGGACTTTCAAATATTGAGTACGCCCTACTGTGGAACAAACTGCGACTGCTATCCAATGCCACGCTTGTCTGCCTCTGTTCAGATCACTTCCTCCGCTGGCTCCAGCCATCTGGTGGGAGGTAGCCTTGGCTCGTTTCAGATTTGGAAAGGATCCAAATAGCTTTCCCTGTCAGCTTTACTGCGCTCTCTGCGTTCTCTCTCCCAGGTTGTGTATATTAAGACGTTAACCAAGACATCAGGATTACAGCTATAATCCTGAAATTTATGTCTCTCCTCAGATGCACGTCTGTCCCACCTCTCATTTATTAGGCTCTTAGGGAAGACTGAGATGAAGAGAGATGGGATGTTGCTATAACTGGTGTTACTAAAGAAGAATGATCATATTTCTGGTGGTTCTGGCACACCTCTGTTTAGTGTCAGGACACAATCATCTGAGATGTGTTTCTTGCAGTGATAAACCCATAAAGCATGTTTTGGTTTTCTCGCCCCCAGCTGTACTGTTTTGGTCCAATGTCAACATGAAGACAACACTGTGCACAACCAGATCAGTATCAAAAAGCCAAGAAACACCTAGCCCATTAAGTTTTTTGTGGACGTTTTGGCAAAGCAAAATACATTTTTTCAGAGACATTGGTAGAGACTTAAAGTGAAAAAAACAGTGACTAACAGACCGAAACAAAACTCTGTATGCACTCTAATATTAGACAGAACTGTAAAAGCAATCAGTGGAATCAACATCTAATGTAAGCCCCAAACAACAGTCATTTTTGTGACTGCTGAAGAGCCTCAGAACAGAATAGGAACGATTTGTTTCATCTTATTGAGAGACACAGACAAATACTTGCTTCATTGCTTTATCTAAAAAAAATTGCAGTCATATTAAAAAAACATTGAAAAAAAGCATTGACTTTACTTAATTTTTTATGCTCAGTAAATATGTAAAAACAAGAAATATTTTCACACATTTAACATGGCTTCTCGATTATGACTGTGCTTCATTCCTTCATTTACAAGGACGTTTGCGTCTTAGTGGCATCTTGGGCTTTTCCATTCGTGTCAGAGTTAATAGACAGAACCAGCTCCATTTCCTGACCAGGCGAGGGGATGGGCATTTTATTAATCTTGGCAAAGCTCTGGCTGATGTCCATAAAGGTTTTATTTTTGGTTTCCGGGAGGACGACATAGAGGTATATGGATCCCAGAATGCAGACTGCCACAAACACAAGGAAGGAAAAGGACTGCAGCGTCTCCTGTGCAAACAGAAAACATACAGACAAGAAACATGAGACATATCAGATTTGTGCATACACTGTGCTGTTTTCAACATCCTTACCCTCAGTTCATCATTCTTCAATCAGATGACATCTAGTAAAGTTTATTAAAAAACAAAAATTTTACAGCAGAATTTTAAACAATTAAATGATTACTGGCGTGTCCACCTCCACACAGCTGGATCGTGACATTTTTCAGTCCATCTCTGCAGAGACATCATCTGTGGCATCTGTTTTGTCAAATGTGTGTCATTGATGAGGACAGCATAACATTCCCATGATTTTCCGCTCAAAAGAATCCTACAAGCATATAAACTGAACATTACTCTTCTTGTATATACTTGCATGTAGTCGTGTGTTCAAGTACCAAAAGTATGAAAGGTAACCTTGTCCTGTGGGTTATGCCAATAATAGAGATTAGTGACAGATTTAAAAATACTCACTGACTGATTACCCAGAGGGAGATTTAGATGTGGAGAGAGGGTTTTGTGCGTGTGCGTATGTGAGTAAGAGAGAAAGACAGAGAAAGAGTCTGAGAGAGAAAGGTTGGGTGTAGGGCAGAGAAACTTGGCTGACCCTGACCAGTATGTTACCAACTATAATCCCTCGCTTATGAGGAGGCAGACCGCAAATGCAGAACTATGTACCAGGTATTAGAAATGCAGTGTCCAAACAACCACGACCTCAGTAAAGAACTACCTACCACTTTGATTTCAGTTGGTTATATCACCACTGCTGTTAGTCTCTGACACTGTTTTCCTCTGTTGAGAGTATTTCATAATAGCGCCATAAAAAAAAACAAAAAACCTCAGAGCATCGTGCAAAGGGCCTGACCCAGTTTCCATGCTGCCTCTGTGACGTAACACTCATCTGCAAAGTTAGCAAGTTCTTCAGAAAGAACTGCCTTTCTCTCTCAGTTGTCAGGGTAGATGAGTCATCTTACAAACAGGACATTTATGCGTTCACTCCATTTGTCATTAATCGAATTTTTGCAAGCCCGTGGATTGACGAGGATGAGACAGTCCTGATTTTGACACTGGGATAAGCCTTTGATCTGCTGTGGTGGCTCAGCTGGGTTCAGTGTGGTGCACACGCAGACAGTAAGGCATGAACACAAAGACCCAATTGCTGTTCACACACACACACACACAAACAGACACACTTTTTTCATGCTTAAATGAATGTTGGCTGAATAATGTGCAAACAGAAAAGGCGAGGTGAATGCTCTAAAATGCACTGCAGACGTACTGTAAATCTAATCTGGTCAAATGAGTGTCCATGCTTGGACATATACTGTCAGTCACTGGTTTCTGGTGCAACAATGAGTCATTGCTGGGGGTAGGGGTTTGCCGGTGTTAAAAGGGGGATACTTGCATGGCTGTGGGCTTTCATAGATTGTGTTGCCTGTGGGAGGCACAACGAGGAGATGGAGATGTATACAAGATTTGAAATGTCCACACTGGACTGATTTATGGATTACACCGATCAGCCACAACATTAAAACCCCTGGGAGAGAATAACATTGATCATCTTGTTACAATGCAGTGTTCTGTTGGGAAACCAGGAGTCCTGGCATTGATGTGGATCTTTTGATGTTGTCTTCAGACTCTCCAGATTCCAATATGATCAAGCTTCTGTGACAACCCACAGGACCCAATGGATCTGCTGCCAAAGTCCTGATGCCTGACTCTACAGTTGAGTGTTGTGTGTACTTATATATACATTTATATTGGTGTGAAGCATCGCATTGGAACTAGAGCTCCTGCTATCTTAGCATTTCTCCATATGATGACTTCACCAGCTTTGGTAAGGGTTAAAAAAATGGCAAGTGAAAGTTTCTTCTTTTCATAAAATTCACTGTGGCAGAAATTGACGTTATACTGTTTGTTTGTACTGGCTGACTAGAGTTATAGAGCAGCGTGCATAGTTTGTGAAAAGCTTGCCTGAGTCAATAACTGCAGAGTTCCAAACCTCTACCGTTATTAACATCAGCACACAAAGTGTGCGCTGGGAGCTTCATGGCATCAGTTTCCATGACAGGGAAGCTCTTGCTCTTGCAATTCTTAGGGAATGCTTTAGACTCCAATTGCAGCAGAAAGAAGGTCCTGTAACCCTGTAGTGCATCCTAAGATAAGATAAGATAACCTTTATTAGTCCCACACGTGGGAAATTTGTTTTGTCACAGCAGGAAGTGGACAGTGCAAAAGTTATGAGGCAAAAAAAATCCTGCTTGGTGCATGAGTTTTTGAGACCTTTACATCATGTTTATTTGTTTTTTCAGAAAAACCTGATGTACACAATTAGACACATGTGGTGCTACTGTGAGCAATAAATACACATAAATGCTCGTTGTAGCAAAAAGGATACAAATTATAACTAATATGCAAATTGATATTTAATTTCTTTCCTCTTAATTTTTCAGAAGGTTCCATAAATCCTCCAGTTAGACTTTTCTGGCAATTATTTCATGGTTCAGGCTTTATGAGGTGAAAGCACGCATTAGATCTGTTAAATTTATATATTAAAAAAAATAGAAAGAAAACAGCCAGTTAAACAAAAAATCTTTTCGTGTGGAGTTTGCGTATTATCCCTGTGCCTGTATGGTTTTCCAAATTAGCCAAAGGTGAATTGATTTGGAGAACTGATGATTCAAAATGATAATAGTGTGTGGTTGTCGGTGTTAGCTCTGCAATGAACTGGCAATTTGTCTTGAATATAGACAAATCCAAGATGGCGGTACACATCGAGTTAAGATATCTCACTTATCTTAACTGCACTACTGTATAGCTCTGTGTAAATAATCATTCTGTACATACGATAATTTTTAATCCTACAACTGTTTATAACTTGCATAGTTCACATTTCTGTATAACTGTATATCTCAGATTTCTGTATAGTTTTTTTTTATTTCATATTTATATCCTGTTCATAGCCTGTACATAGCTTGTACTCACTACAGCCTGTACATACTTATAGTTATAGAATATTCACAACATACTTCATACCGTGTACATTATAACATACCATAATAGACCCATTTCTGTAATATACTTACATATCTATATTATTGTTAATATATATTGTAATATATCTATATCACTAAAGCACTTCTGGATGGATGCAAACTGCATTTCGTTGCCCTGTGCATGTGCAATGACAATAAAGTTGAATTCTATTCTATTCTAATTCTATTCTATATAGAGGGATTATGGCAGTCATGCTTTGATTGATGACTTTGATTTGTTTTAATTATTTTACCTGAAAAAATAGTTAGTCCCTTTGAAACCATGACAGTGTTTAATATTAGAGAGATCCAACCTCTGGTCTTTTAAACAGAGCCAGTAGGATTCCCATACACCGAGTATTAAAAAAGTGAATACACTCTGGGCTAATTAAAATAAATCTCCAAAGTGGAAGATAAAATATACAATTTGCATGTGGCAAAATTTGGGTCAGGATTGTCCCCCATGAACCTTGTTAACATGCTCCATCTGGTGCCATCATCATGCATTTGGCTCAAATATTTGATAAAATACAAAAGATGACCAGTCAAATCAGTAGTAACAATAATTAATTGCTATCCTTTAATTTTCCAGGGCCAGTGTCTCAGTTGTCTGTATCAGCCTTTCATTGATCAGGAAATAGCCTTGGTGGAGTTTTCGGGAGTGTTAATTGGTATAATTGCTACTTAATGTGTTCCTTTCCTGCGCCTGGGAGCATTTTGCATATCTGTGTTCAGGTGCTGCTGTCCTTTTAGATATCCATGTAGGGAATTAAAAAGTGCTAATAATTGCTAATATTTCATATTACAAGATTTTAACTGCTATATTTTATAACCCCATTTGAACACCTAGCTCTGCAGAGCACTAACTGACACCTCAGCAGTGGCCTGCCATGGAAAGATGGGATGTGACAGTTAAACGGTGTGTTGTCTGGAAAGGGGTCAGAGCTGGTTTCAGGTGCATGTCAGAAACCAGTCAGTCACTGCTGGGATCTGGATGCCAGGCATGTGCCTGGGAGTTCGTGGGGCTAGCAAAACCCAACCAACAAAAGCAACGAGCAACTCTGCAATATTTGTGGAATTGGCTGGCTAAAAATAACCTTCTGTTGCTTTCTGTTTCTCACACGTGTCCAAATCTTCCCTGCCAGGTCAGCCTTATCTCTTGCTCTGCTCTAGGACTTTCAAAACCCATTTCTCCTGTGACACACTCTTATTGTATACCTTTATTATCTGTTTAATTACCTATTCAGCTCTATATCTACTTGACCTTCCATTTCCTGACATAAATTACCAGCAATCTCATTGTTCAGCCATCAAAATACCAAAAAACCCCAAAAAACCCCACCTGTTTATCATGACATCATACCTCTTTGTCCTGTCTTCCTACTGGTCAGTGGTACATGACAGGTAGAAGTGCAATATATCATCCTTTATTTCTCCAATCCTTATTTTTTACAAGAATGAAGTGACAGTGCAGACACAATGGTGAGGTGTTCAGGCTCCTGTACATCTACTGACAACTCTTCATTTAAGGATTCATAGTCTGGTGTAGCTCTAGCACAGGAGAGTATAGGTGTTTCATTACATGTACAGGGTACCTGACATGCTGAAACCGGCAGGGTTCAGCACATTTCTGTAAATGACTTCCACAATGCAAGCTTCCTATTCTTAGCAGTGGGTGTTGCTTACCTAGTTATATTGTGATCGGTAACATGACACAAAGGAAAATAAATGTAGTTTTTTGTCACACTGCCAATGTGAAGATGTGGATGGCATTTTTGTTTTTTAGTCACACTTCATACGAGACTTAAATATCTTTACAGATGAGTTCCCCCACCAAACTTTGTGTTTCAGAGAGAAGTATCTGGAGAATGGAGCTCTGACGAGTTTTCCAGAGTTACACTTTGGCGTAACACTCTGGTAACCGCTTCTCTCCTAGCGCCATAGCCAGATCTTGATCGTTAGATTTAAACTCTTC